TCACTGTTGAGCCTGGACATTTCTTCTATTCACTTTGTGAGCTATGTGTTCAGTCTTTGGGTTGTTAAAAGAGTTTTTCTTATCTCGGAATAAGAGCAGATTTGCAAATTTTAAAGTCCTCTCTAGTGGCAAGTTCCCTCACCACAAAGAACTTAATATATATTCTAACAAAAAAAAGAAAGTACATGTTGGAAACATTACAAAATTGGCGACAGAATAGAATAGTTGAAAGTCAAAAAGATGTGGCAAAGGACTCTGGGCAAAGATATAGAATGGAAGGATTAGGAAAAGCTCATTGTAGATGGTGAGACCTAAACTTTGGAAATATGTGTCTGCAAATGGCAGAGAGGAAGGGAAAGGCATTCCAGCACAGAGAACACATGGAATGAATTAATGAATAAAGAAGGTTCCAGTGAGTAACAGAAGATACAAAGCTGTTAGGACGACAAGTCACAGAAAACCTCAAAAGAAACAGAGCAGTTTGTGCAAATAGTGCAGTAACCACATGGTAAGACATTTTAGGAATGTTAGTTTGGGATGAGGATACAAAAGGAACTGAAGTTGGGGAGACAAGATGACTTTAATAATAGTTTTGTCCTTTTGGTGGAGAGGGTGGCTGGAATGAGGCCCTGGTTAGAACTGTGAAGGGGAAGCTGGAGAACAAATTCGAAAGACTAAGTCAGTCAGGACTTCACTGTGGTTGTGAAATGCAGAGGAAGGGGGCAAAGTCTTCTGAGGCAGAGCATAGGCCAGACCTGCTTCCTGTCACAGAAATTAGGAAACAGGACTGGGTTAGAAGGGAGGAGTGAAGAATGAGTTTGGCTTAGGAGGCTAACTAATGGCCTTGTGCCTCTAGGCTGCTGAAAATGTTTAGTGGCGGATGGCGATGCGGGACACATCTGCACAGCGCAATGACAGCTGAAGAAAGGAGATTATCTCTAGTTAGAAAAGGCTGCCGTGGGGCTGCCCACAGCGAGGGAACACTCAGTAATTCTTGTGTGTCAGCCATGAGGTAGCAGAAAAGGTCTAGGGGTGCGCCCCACCTCCCTCCTTCCTGCCCATTCACACTCACCACCCTGCCCGCTTCTGTATGATTGACTGTGCCGTTCTTGGAGAGGTGTGGTCTGGCTTTGAAAGAAACAGCCAGGTCTGGGCTTCCAGCCTCCCACAGTGAGCCATGAACGAGCAGCCTGGGTGCCCCTTGTGACTGAGGAGGGCAGACCACCTGTGCTTCGCTTTATGCTTTACCAGAATGCCTTCTCACCCTTGATCTTTGCATCAGAAACTTCAGAGTGGGAAGAGACCTGCAGATTTTAGAGAAGAGGGAACCAAGACCCACACAGGAAGTGACTTGCCTGGTATCACATGCAGTGGGAGTCAGGGAGAGAGCTTCCATTTTAGCTTGAAGTCACTGCTCCCCGGGAGGACGAGGGCCTGTCCCTGCAGATACAGTTATTTTCAGAGCTCTGAAAGCTGAGACGTGGGGACACAGTATCCTTTCTTCCTCACCCCAGCTAAAATGCACAGACCACTAGTGTATTATTTTAAAGAATTTGTTACACATTTTTTTCTCGGTTAAGACAAAATCTTACATATTTCAACTATTTCTAAGAATCTCAGTACTTTTTAGAAATGTCAGTGTCCTTGTAAAGACAAACATTTCATTTGTTTCCCCGTTACAATCTATAATTCTTCACTCCTGACGTGTATTCCGTCACCTTTTTACCAACAGTGGGTTATTTTCCCAGAAAGGGGGCTTTAAATCACTCTTCCCCATAAAGGTAATGCCATAATGGGAAGGTGCTGCCTTTGCTTTTCTAAGGAAGAAACAGGAAAAGACATTCACAACTATATTTAATGTAATGCAGAAAAATGTACCAAAATCGTTTCACTTGCTTACACCCATTGCATTATTGTTGGAACTTAGAATAATGGATAAGGAGTGAAAGGTTCACCAGCAGGTTGGTAGATTCCGTTCTCTGGAGAGAGTTTTACAGGCTTCTCGAGAGTTTGGGAGGCAGTGCACCTCAGGGCTACTTGATCTCCTTTTGAGCAACCGTTCCAGGCTTGCCTCTGCATCTCACTGAAAGTGTCCCTTCAGTAAATGTAGGCCTTGAACTCGTGAGTAGCAGATTACTCTTTCTGAAAGTTCGTTCTTCCCTGAGCTGTCATCTCCGATGCTTCACCTTGTACCCCAGGGGCGACAAGAGGCAGCCAGCTGCTTTTAGAACACACGATTCCAGCCCCAAGGAGCATCACGTTTTCAGTCTAGCACAGTACTCTGCACAAGGTGAGGGGTTTAAATACCTACTAAAAGAATAAAGAAACAAAAAGGTTTGTAATCATTACTAAACACTCTATTACCATGGATTTTTACCGAGACTCCTTCCTGTTCCTCTGAAGGCAAGAGAACTCATCTTTTGAGTATTTAACATATGCCAGGCATCTCACCCCATCTTGTTTAATTCTCCATAATAATCCTGTGATGTAGTTAGTATCCCCACAATTCGAGATGAAAAAATGGGGTTCAGAGGCTGACTTGCCCGGAGTCAAGCTATTAGTCAGTTACAGGGCCAGGAACCAAACCTTGGTCTATCTGGCTGAGCCGTTCCACCCTTGAGGTTATAAAAGGAGACACTGTCAAATGGGAGGAAGTTTCTCCATCCCCTGATGAAACTGGGGAGAAGCAGTCTGTAGGAAATCCCAAATGTCAGTGACCTAAGACCATGTGATCCACTCCATACACAACTGTCTGAATCCTTTAAGAAGCTGATTAAAGTTTATGACAAATTATGAGGCTTTTTACTGAAATATTTGTTAACATTTCTCAATCGCAGGCAGCCTAACCTGCCTAAATCTGTGTGCATCTGCAGGCTTATAGATTTTTAAGTCCTGAGTCTCTAAATAGATTCCCCTCATTTCACAGATGAGGAAACCAGAAAGGTTCAATTTGTTTAGCAAATTTTATTTAGTTACTGGTTTCTAGATTTAGCCTTAACCCGTATTTAAATGTGAAGAGTACCACATTTTGTAAATAAAATGAATTATAATTCATCTATATACAACTATTTTCTATCAATACCAACATTCACCTGCCTCAAGTGCACAATTATAACTCAACAGAGACCATGTCTGATTTAAAGTCTTTAAGTAGCTGGATCTGTTTATACTAGTGTCTAATAAAAGCCATTTCTCTTCAACTTCCACAGAACTTTCAGCTTGGCGCTAGCACACTGGTTCAAAACACCTGCTGAAAGTTAGCTGAGCAGTTGCCTTCCACTCAAGCAAAATATCTCCAAGGTGTGGGTGTTAAAAGTTTACTGACTTTTCAGTCCCTCCC